ATATATGTATATTTGTATGTATATACGGACATAGTGTTTTAAATGTTCTGTCAAGCCATGCGCCGGCTGGCCCAGCGCCGTTGAATCCTTTGCGCTCTGTCATGTTTCCGTGTGGATTTGTGTCTGCCGTATATGGCCTGAAGGCAGAAGCCTGCGCTTCTTCCAGATGTGCATGGACTTTCCAATTCTGATCTGAATTTCATGTCACATTGAATGGCTGAACGAGGCCTCATCTGCTCCTGCCTTTGTTTTTTTTTCTCCAATGAGGTTGACACGTTGTCTTTGGGGAGTCTCAGTGTTTCACCCTGCTGAGCGAACACGTGGCTTCTGAATTATCCAAAAGGTTCACCGTCTTCTGTGAAGGGAGCTCGTTGGAGTTGTGTTCGTGCGTCCGTCCATGTGTGTGTGTGTAGTGAGGATTTGGGGAAGGGGAAACATTTGTGCACGATGACAGCAGTGACGATGAAATTGATTTGGGCCCAAGCCTCTTCAGTTTCTTCAGTGAGTTTTGCTTGCCGCAGAGTCACCCATGCGCCGCAGCCCCTTTTTGTGCTTGGGAAGGCGGCGCCCCTCTGGGCCAACCGAGGCAGCCCGACTCGGGTGGAAGCAGCCAGTTCTCTGTTGCTCTGCTTGCCTCACTCCTTTTCTGCAGAGATGAATTATTCACGACTCTACAGAAGCGTGCAATCCAAGTCGCCACCCCCGAGTTCCGCACGCTCACTCGCGCTCCTCCGCGCGCGCTCGGCACGTTATCACGCACCGCGTTCGACCGTGTCATCGTTCACTGTTCGATTTGAAACGATTTCTCCTCTCTCTGGGGTTCATCGTGGGGGGGGAATGTCTCCGAGCCTCCAAGTTTGCGGTCCATCTCCGTGAGGGTGGGCCGGTGATTATGGAAGCTGCCGCTGCCCCGGCGGGAGGGGGAAGAAAATGCAGTCGAGTGGGATTTGGCGCTTCCCGGGGCAATGGACGCCATGCGGGGACCGGGACGGGGCGCGGCTGGCAAATGATGGGTCGTGCTGGCCATGTCGAAGGGAGTGGCTCGCTTCGAGGAGCGCAAAGCGACAGGCGGGCTGAATGCGGCGACGGGGGATGGGAGGGGGCGCCCGAGGTGGACCATGAGATTGAAGGAAATGGAGACGGACGGAAGAGAGACTTTCGCCCCAGTGTGGGGAGGGCTGAACCATCTCAACCCATTTTCACAATTCTTGCACACGCACACTTGCGTGCATTCGCAAACCCGCACAGATGACCAAAAGCCACAACTTCCCCGAATGTGAACGAACCAGAAAAATAAAGCGCATACAATAAGACGGTTCGGTCCCCAAGTTTGAAAGATGAAATCACTGCCTGCCCTATTTGGAGAGCTGACACTGGAAGGCGGAGGCGAGGACGCACTTTGGTTGCCCGTCCAGCCATTTTGGCTCCCGTCTGAGCGTTTTGAACCAACTCGTCATAATAGTTTGGGGCGATGATCTTTCTTTTCCCTTCAGTGGACTTCTGTCCTTTTCCCTCAGGACCGGAAGCTGTCAAAAGTGGAACGTCAGCGCTTCAAGGAAGAGGCGGAGATGCTGAAAGGCCTCCAGCATCCAAACATCGTCCGCTTTTACGACTTTTGGGAGTCGCCGCTCAAAGGAAAGAAGTGCATCGTTTTGGTGACGGAGCTGATGACATCGGGGACGTTAAAAACGTGAGTACGGAAAAAAATCGCCGACCGTCGGCGACATGGGCGCGCGTCCGCCGACCCGCTGGCCTTCTCTCGTGCAGCTATCTGAAGCGGTTTAAGGTGATGAAGCCCAAGGTGCTCAGGAGCTGGTGCCGGCAGATCCTGAAAGGCCTTCACTTTCTCCACACCAGAACCCCCCCCATCATCCACAGGGACCTCAAGTGCGACAACATTTTCATCACCGGCCCGACGGGTTCAGTCAAGATCGGCGATTTAGGGCTGGCCACGCTGAAGGCCGCCTCCTTCGCAAAGAGCGTCATCGGTAGGTCGGCTCGCCCGTCTTTGGTCGGCCACCTTTTTACACTCAAAGCGCCGTTTCGACACCGGGAGCCGCCGCAAACGCTTTTTGACAGCCTGTTTCAAATGTATATCTATATACAGTATGGAGAGATATCTTTACCCTTTTCAAATAGTGTGTTGCTCCGCGTTGTTTCATAAAATGATTTTTTTTTTCTTTGTTATTCAGTGAACACATTTTGAACTCTGACCAAAAAAATCGAATCAAAATGGCATAGTTGAGGGTCTCTTTCAAGCGAATGAAAAAGCCGAACTTTGAGCAAACAAAAATGCCGTGAGCCGTCATCCTTTCAGCTTTCGGAGCCTTGACCTGAATTCGATGGGGGGCGGGGGGGGGTGGGGCATTATTTGACCGAATGCCGAAATAAATCTGAGCCAAATAACTGCCTGTATATTTATGTGACCTGCTTGATGGGACTTTGGCTCCTCTGCGCACAGCATCTGCAAATGAGGGCCGCAGGAAATCGTAATCGTAAGCTGCCGTCTGTGGCGGAGAATGGCCGCTCACGTGCATTTGTGGCCGCGCAGATGGACAAGACTCCAAATGCATATTTTTTTGTCGAAGGTCTCGATCCGTGTACGACGTTTGGCCGGGATGTCGGAGAGCGTGACGCTTTTATTTTGAGCGACGAAAAATGATACAACATAACAAATGATTTGATTTCAAGATCTCGAGATCACAATCATCTTACCGTCGACAACTCCGATCAAACAAACCCGAATAAAAAGGGTTTTGGTGTCGCCGGGCTTTCCGCGCATGCCGCCGACAAGTCAAGTGTTGGCAAACGTCCCTGACGCTGACCACCGAAATTGCGCAAGGTCCAAAGAAAGAAGCGCGGCATGCTTTTGAGACGACGAGCATACGCTCGCGTCGGACACTTTGCGTTTATTTTCCCGAGGCGTGAGGAGTTGGGGGCGCCGCTTGTTGCCGACCCCCGGCGACGAGAGAAGCGTGTTGAAGACCTTTGGCGCCGACTCTTTCTGCAGGCACCCCAGAGTTCATGGCCCCAGAGATGTACGAGGAGCACTACGACGAAGCCGTGGACGTCTACGCCTTCGGCATGTGTATGCTGGAAATGGCCACCTCGGAATATCCCTACTCGGAATGTCAGAATGCTGCGCAGATTTATCGCAAAGTTACAAGCGTAAGTCCGAAGGCATGATGCTAAATGTTTTTTTTTTTTTCAGGGGAGGGCCGAATCTTTTTACATTGTCGTTCACATAATAAAAACAGGGCGGACTTGTAAGGTGACGTGCACGTGGCGTGTTTACGGATTGAAATATCGTCACCTTCCTCAAATAATGGCTCAAGTAATTCTTGTCACGAAAAAACGGACCCAAATACTAATTATGTTTATCAACAATTTCATTTGAGAAGTAGAATAGAATGATCCGTCGAACTAAAGGGACGGCCGATTTTAGGTGACCAACATCCGGAGATGTTTGAAGCAAAAACCCAAAAAAAGTCCAAATATGACTTTGGCCATTATTTGAAGAAGGTCCTTCCCTGTCCTGACACGTTTGTGGGAATTTAGCCCGATATTGATTCTTTGACGCCATCTTTTCGCGGTAAACTCATGTGACATGAGATTTCGTCACAAGGCGAGAGGAACATATCAGACCAACATGGCGGAAGCACTGAAATCGGAACAACAAGCTTGAAGCTTGAGAAACAAAAAAAAAACACGGAGACACCAATGAAGTGAAACTTTGTGCGATGGTCACAGCAATGTGAATGTCATGAGTTTACGGCGTCTTTTTGCGATTTTATGTACACAGCCTGCCCGTGGTTGCAATCGATTGAAATTATGATCGTTTTGATCGGGTCATGTTCACTAAGACACCCGTGATTCGAGTTACTGCGTTGGGGTTCAATTCTAAATACAAATCATCCCATGTGTACCAATGCACCAAGTTAGGGCAAGGACTATTTGCTCGACTATTTGCCACATTGCTTCTTCTGAGAATGTCGCCCATATGAAAGTAAAATTGGTACCGGTAGTGCGTGAATCCTCAATCGCGCTTTTGTGAATGGAATGATACCTGCCCTATTCATTCCCCACTGCGTTCGGCGCCATCTGTTGTTGACCGATGGTGACGTTTGTCACATCTGAAACATACCCGCATACTTAAGAGACCTGGGCAGGATTGGAACGAATCACAATGGTACGGTTCACATTGAAAAAAAAAAAAAAATCGATGTCACATATGGGCAAAAAAAAAAAAAGAAGCCTGGAATTGACCTTCAGCATAAACATAACCCATTTTCGGTGCCATCTGGTTTGCTCAAGAAACAAGATGCATGGCAATGATTGAATGGATAAGAGCAGGAATCCACCTGGATAGAAGGTGGGGGTGGGGGGGGGGGGGTCGATAGACAAACATATTTGTAACCCCTTTCAACCGAGCAATGTCTTTTTTTTTTTTCTCCGAATTGCGTTGTCGGTGTCACCGAGCTGCTCCCGTTTGCTCCACTGAGACCACTGCAAAATATTGGTCAAAAATAGGCCCAAATATTTTGACATGGATGCCAAAATGGATTCGTGTTTTGTTTCTGAATGATAAAGACATTCCTCGACGTCGCTTGAGGCTTTGTGTTTTAATTCCATTTGTTGTCCTTTTTCTTGACCTAGGGAGTCAAGCCAGCCAGTTACAACAAGGTCATGGATCCTGAAGTTAAAGAAATTATTGGGGAGTGCATCTGCCAAAAGAGAGAAGAGCGGTAAGCCTTTGTCACGCGGTGTCCGTTGGATCTCGCAACAATTTTGGCTTGAGCGACGCCAATGCACGCCGCCCGCGCATCAGGCTGCGGGCGGACGAGCGGCGCTGCCGGGACGCGGTGACTTGCAAGGGAGGCCTAGCACGTCGCGCTGGCAGCTGCTGTTCTGTTTGCGTCCGCCCCTGCGTGACACTCGCGCCGCGGGACGGAGCCGGGGCTCTCCTAAAGGTCAACGGGAGCAAAGTCGTCGTGCGCTCGGAGCGTCAACTCGGCTCTACCTTCTCCAGGTACGCCATCAAAGACCTCCTGAACCACGCCTTCTTTGCCGAGGACACGGGGGTGAGGGTGGAGCTTGCCGAGGAGGACGACGGGCAAAAGACCTCCATCGCCCTCAAACTGTGGGTGGAGGACCACAAGAAATTGAAAGGGAAATATAAGGAGAGTGGCGCCATCGAGTTCACCTTTGACCTGGAGAAGGAAGTCCCTGAGGTGGTGGCGCAAGAGATGGTATGTGAATCCATTTGGTTCGGCACTTCATTTCCAGCTCTTTCATGGCCATCTTCCTGAAAGGGATCACGCGAGTCCCACCCAATGGCTTTTGTTTTTGATTTCGAGCGCTTTTGACCTTTGCCCAAAGTCCACCCATCCATCCATTTTCTGATCCGCTGAGCCTGTCCTTCATTCACTCATTCATTTTCTCAAGAAATGAGACCGTTTGGAATTTGTTTTTGTTTTTTTATTCGTTACGGCCAATATTTTTGAGTGTGAGCATTTTTTCACTCTGCCACAGCAGAAATCCCGGTGAGCCACCACTTTCCTTTCTTCAGGTGGAGTCCGGATTCTTCCACGACAGTGACGCGAAGACTCCCCTTTGCCGGAGCCGCGAGCGGACGCCGAGCGGCGCGACCGACCCGCTACCCCGCCAGCCAGTTCCACCTCGGTCACATGTAAGCAAGCCCCTCCTCTTGTACGGCCTGTTTAGGGCAGGAGCGTCGTGAGCGCAAAGCCTGCGGTGTCACGGGTCAGGATGACAAGAGCGCCAAAGGGAAGCTGAAGGTCTGCACTTGAAAGCACGCCCCCTCGCTTTCATTTCAGATCCATTGCGCTGGTGTTCGGCGCCAAAAAGGCGCCGATGACCGCAGAATTTTGTCGCTCGTCAGACGAGCGTAACCTCTGCCCCTTGTGTGTGATTGGATCATTTTGTGTCTCCGTAGCAGACGGCACTCTGGACAGCGGCAAGGGCTCCACCGTTTACTCGGACTCCCACAGCAGCCAGCAGGGCGGCCTCTATCGGTCCCTGCTGGAGCCCGTCGCCATGGCGACACAGCAGGTTTGTATTTGGAAGAGACTCGCACGTTCACACGTGGAGAAATGCACCGCGACTCGCACCGTGACTCGCGCGGACATGCTAAGGTTTCATTTTGAAGTTGGCTTTCTCGTCGCGTCGGCGGGGGGCGTGCTCCTGTCTTTCACCGCTTTTCCCTGGAATCTGCACCAGATGATGAGTTTGCCTCTCTGTGTCCGCAGGGCTGTTCCGGGGCTCACCGGAATCAAGCAGCAGAGCTCGCATGTCACCACTACGTCCAGCCCGCCCCGCCCTACGCTTGTCAGCCCGTTGTCGCGACCTTAAGTCGCTCCAGTTCCTGCTCAGTCAAGCCCCGTCCCGCAGCCGGCGATTGCGGCCCGCCTCCAAGCGTTTCCGCAGCGGCGCAATGCGACCAGACGCCGGGTCGTCAACCGCAACAAGCCACTTTGAACCACCTGCAGCAGACGCACGCTGCCGCGACTCCGCCGGCGCAGCACCCGGAACAAAGTTGCCCTCTGACGCGCGCGCCTTTGACCGGGGCGCCCGCGGCCCGGTGTCATCTGACACGGGCTTCCGGCGGCGCCGTACCACTTCCGGCCGGGGCCCAAACTGCTCCGAGCTCTTCGGCATCGCTGCTTCCGAGCCGGCGGATGCCCGTTGAACAAGAAGGCCGACCGCGCCCGATGCAGCAAGCGCCAAACGGGCTTCCGCCTGGCCTTCGGACGCAACTCTTGCACGGCCACGAGACGGCGCCAAGCGCAGGCCGGCGAACCTCGCCTCCGCCTCTTCGCCATTCTCCAAGTCCACAGAAAGCGATCGACCTCGCTCTCCAGCAGCAAAGCCGACGTCCCGAGCAGACAGCCCTCCCCCAATGCAGCCAGGC